CATGTATGAAGACACGAATTGGTGTGAATATACTTTGTATACAACCAGAGATATGAAAAATTGTGCTCTATATGTGTAATAAGAATTGTAATGCATTCTACTGTCATATATAAATAATAAAAAAGAATAGATAAGAAAAAGTGCTTCACTACCAACAAATTTCCCAAACCAAATCCACACTGTAATATCCATGCAGAAATAGTTTTCACCAAGAATAAGAGCAATGTAATGGCACAAGAGTAAGCCCTGGACTTTTTTGAAATACAGTTATAGGAGACAACCCTTTAGTTTGTAAAGATCTTCCAAAAATGTTCCCTGCTTTCTCAAATACAGAGACTACCTCATTTCCTGCAAATTGTTTTTTTCTAATTCTGTTCAAGGATATCAACTTCATTAAAACTTTAAAGATTTAATCCTGAGTTATGGCTTGATGAGATCTCTGTGGGATGAAAGAAATCAAGAGATCACAGTACCTGCTATTTTAAAATGTTCTTACAATGGAAATATAATTTGTTGATGAGAATGCATTGCTGCAGAGAAAAATCGAATTTGAAGAAAAAAAATTTGAAATATTAGCTTAAACCCTAGGGTGAGCTTCTAAAAAGAAAATCTGTTTTTTTTTAAACAAACATCAAGGCAAATATCACTTAATTAGGCTGATTTTATATTTCAGACATGAGTCATATTTTTGAAAGAGAAAATTCAAAGTACTTACAATATATGTAAAATATCACTTTTCATACAAAGTAAGTTTTGATTTAGCTATTGACCAAAATTATTCAATTTATAAAAATCTAATTTATATTCGGGGTCACAGGTTAAGCATTCTTTTATTTCTCTTGTTACCTTTTTTCTTGAAGATTCTATTTTCTATGATGATTTCTTCCTCTATATGAAAGGAAAGCTTTGATAGTAAAATGTTGAATAGGAATATTGTTAAATTCCATACATCTACCAAAACAAGTTGGAAGAACATCAGAACATTATAAACTACAGTTTTCATAAGAGAAAAAAAAAACACTCAGAAAAATAAGACAAATAAAAATCAACAAAATTTGGTAAAATTTCAATCACTTCTTTGATTTATTTTATCACAGATAAATTTACATTACATTATTTTTGAAGGTAAGGGCATATAAAACAAAACACTTATATTATGAAAAATATCAGATTTTTCTTATGTGAGAAATTTTTCCTAAGGATGATTTTGTTTAATGTTCTGGTTTAAGGGAAAAACTAAATTATACAGAAAAACAATAAAACCACCAAGATCCCTTAAAATATTCCAATTTTTGATTCATTTAGTTACTCTGTACTTTCTAGAGAGTCTCATTTAAAAGCAAAAGAGTGACACTAGATGACCTCCAAATCACAGCCACTCAGACATTGAGAGATTCTATAAACACTTTCCCTTGTTGATGGTGAATGCTACCCACTAGCTGCAGTAACTCTAAGTTAAAACATATCATTTTGGAGTCAGTCATTTGTACATATGCTTCTCTGCAAAATAAAACAAATGTTAAAAGGAATAACCCATGTAATTCATATGGATCTACTAACAGCCTAGACACAGCAAATCAAGTGGCATCCACATTTTAGCAAATATTCTAGCAAGGTTGTTTAACTAGATACTTCACAAACACGTAAAGAATGACTCAAATAATGACTATAAGAATTCACTTCTCTTTATTAGAAAGTGCACAACAAACCAACAAGTTCTGAAGGCCTAATGAGCCAGGACTGGATCCAATGACCTTAGTCAAACTGCCAATACAGGGTCTCCAACAATTCACTTCCAAAGAGCTAAAGCCCACCCCAGTGCTCAATGGGTCACAATTTCTAGGTTGCCTATAGGCTGTCACTATCAGATTTATTTAGATAATGCATGTGTAGCTATAGCTGGTTGTTTTAGAACTCCAACAGTCTTTTTTTAGGCTTTGCCTCTGTCATCTGGGAGGTATATTCCCTTCTCTAAACCATTTTTACTAATTATAAAAAAATAATGAAAATAGTAGTACCAAGCCCTAAAAAATTAAATAAATAAAATTATTTCCATCCTTTAACAGAGTACACTCTCCTCTTCTTCAAACTACCTTTTCTATGTTATGTTGTAAAAAAGATAGGGGGGAAATCTAGCGAATATAGTTCTAGCCCTAATTTTGCCACAATCTTACATGTGTAACTTTAGAGAAAATATAATCTTGCTGTGGCATTAGGATGTCTCATCTATACGGGTCAGGATTTTGTTGCACAACCCCAGAATGCAACATCACATTCTACTCCAGAAAGGCATTCATGAAGCATCTGATACCCACTGTGGCCCTGGAACTATGTAATGTGAGGTCCTGCCCTGCCAGTTTCCACATTTTCATGTTGTTTCTGAGATTGATTTTAACATCTAGTCCCTGAACCATACTTTCAGAATCTTCACTGGGCTTATAAAGTTTCAACATTACACTCTCAGAAATTGGTGAACTAAGAAAAGAGACTGAGAGATACTCATTGTATCAGCCCTGGGATCAGAAATACAAGCATGGCCTTTCCCATTAAATAGTTGTCTTAGCCTTACTGCCTCAGCCGCACTCTCCTAGAAAGTCTGTGGAATGTGTGTCTCAGTGTTAGAAATCCACAGTGGAAATTCAGGGCAAATTATTTCATGTCACCACTTCACCGTTTGTGACTCAGATTGTACTTTGCAAGGGTATGGCTTAGAAAGGCTAGTGATTTCAAGAATAACTCAAATAATAGTGACTATAAGGCCAAAGTGCTTATAAAACTGATTCCTTCAAATAGAACTTTTTGGTGTTTAACAACTTCCTCCCAATCCACTAAAGAATAAATTGTGGAATTGAGATGTGGAAGGTTCTATCTCTATATAAATAGGCTCAGCCTATATACTACATGAATCATGGTTTCTGACAGCAGATCAACAAATCAGTTGTTTGGTTTCATTAGTAAGTATAATGGCACACTGTCATATTCCCCAAAAGCTTTACCACATACCACACTCCAGTTCCTCTAAGCTAAGCTTCAGAACAAACCCCAGTCCATGGTATACAAATGCATTTCTGTTGCCTTGCACCCAACAGTTCCTGCCATCTCTGTGCCAGACTGTTACCATGACACTTTAGGTAAAGAAGTCACCAGTCAAGAGCCTTCCTGGCAAGATGAACACCAACTAGATGAAAAAGAGAAACAGATTAAATAAACACCAAAAAAAAACCCCAATAAACTCAGAAATTCCTTATTTTCAAATGAGATACTAGGGAAATGGCCACAGGAAGCAAAGCACAAAATCCTTCCTTCCCATGCAAAATTAAGCATTGCAAATTGTTCATTTGCAAATCAGCTTCAACAAAGATCAAATAAGTTTATCTTATCCATTCACAAATACAATCCACCTGCCATACTTGTTACCTTGTTTTTAGCTGAGGAGGCTTAGTAGGATTCCAACTAGAGTGCAACAATGTACTAGAGACAGAGATGTAAGAGTCACATTGAGTTCAGAGCCTTGAAGTTTCTTGTACACCATATAATCCTTAAGAGAAGGCTTCCAAACTAACCCTGTGCAACAAAACAGAGGATTTTATTTTCCCCCAATACGAATCGTTGGATGTACAGTGATAACTCCAGAGTTTGTGTAAATCTTCACTTTATAAAATATACATGTCATATCAAGTAGATGTAAAATAACAGAGACTTTGGTAGCTCCTGCCTTGGGTTCATTATATTGTTGTTTACTTCTGAAATTTATTACTCTAATGCCATCACAGAATTAAAAAAAAAAAAAATGAGCTCACTGATGAAGTGACTAATGTCACGAAGACCCAATGGAAAACAAAACAAGGTGACTTCCTTGCAAGACTTACTCCCAAATTTTTAAGCTAATCCTAAACCCCATTTGAATGTAACTTATGTGTTTCATTCTTACAACCGAAGAGAATACCCCATACCCATGTCAGAGTTGCTAAGGGGCTAACCTAAACTAATCAACTGATCATAGAACTGGTTCTCTTTCCACCCAGTATTCCCTTTCAGTTCTCCACACCAAAGGTAGAACATCTGCATGTTGCAATTGACTCTGCAGCCACACCCAGGATCAATGTGTCTCATGGAAGCACAGATCTTGACAATCTGCTTTCATTCTCAAGATGGGATACTGGTGTGGCTTAGGCTGGGAACTGTCACACTGAAACTAGAGATATCCAATTTCCCTTTGCAGCGATATATCAAAGAATAATCATTTGAGTTTAGGGATGTAGAAGAAAATCCTCGTCAGAAAGGTAATGCTATGAAAATCTCTAATAAGTCTGAGGTTTTCTTCACATTCCCTAAGGCCAAACTGTGGGTGTTATCTTGTTCGAATAATGTCTCAAAAGTGTATGTGTGCAAGGATAGTAATAGGACAGAAAAGTTTATAAACAGAGCCTTTGGAAACCATCAAAATGGCTGGAAAAGGGGAAGAGGAAGAGGACTGTGAAAGGAAAATGAAGGAATAGTTAGAAAAATGAGATTAAATTTAAGTTCATCTGGTGTCCACTAAATGTCTATCATGTGATGTTATTAGGGATGTTGGGAAGAGCTTGATTTATCTTTAGGTGCTCAAGGTGGAGTATATATATATTCCACAGATGGATGGATGGTTGAATGGATGGAAAAGAAGAGTGACAAAATGATTGAATGGATGGATGGATGGATGGAATGATCATTGCCCTCAAAGACTTTACAAACTATTTGGGATTAGTGTATCTATATATCTGACTCTCATTCTAGTCAAACTGTGTATTGATCAAAGCATAAAGTGTTTTCCTGTATATAGGACAAGAAGCTATTTGACAAGACAGTGGTTGAAAGAGAGATGTCTAGAAATTAGCGGAGAGGAAAGGCCACAATGAAAGGGATCCTGGTTTCTTTCCATGAGCTGGAGATCTAGGTGCTTTAAGGAAGGGGGGAAAAGGGTGTCGGCCTCTGGGGAGCCCACTGTCCGGGCTTCTACTGACCTGGTCTCCGCCTCACGGGCCTCTTGCGGCCGCTGCAGAAGCGCACTTTGCTGAACACCCCGAGGACGTGCCTCTCGCACAGGGAGCGCCCGTCTTTGCTGGGGCTGGAACGGCGCTTGGAGGCCGACACCCGGTCGCTGTTCGACTCCCTCGCCTGCCGCTTCTGCCGGATCAAGGAACTGGCTATCGCCGCAGCCATAGCAGCTCAGCGCGGGCCCCGGGCCCTAGGCTCCACGGCGCCCTCCGAATCGCGCTCCGCCGGGTCGAGGGCAGGACCTCGGCGGCAAGGAGGGATAGGGCAGGAGCGGGGAGGCAGTGCTAATATTTGAGGAGGCTGCAGTACAGAAAACCCTGCGTCCACAAGGTTAGTCAGAGTCTGGGCAGTGGCAACAAAATGTGTGAAGATCCAGATGTAAACTTCCCCAACCGCTGGCGGCGGGGGCGGGGCGGTCCCAGGCCCTCCTGCGAAGTAGGTGTGCACCCCAAACTTGCACCCCAAGGCGATCCACTTCCAAGGGGTAGTAGTGAGTTTGGTCACACTGCGTTCAGGGTGCCAAATGGAAGGGGCTAAAGGATGTCCGAAATCACAAGCCGTGCCCCTGTTGGAGAGGCGCAAGCGTCGTACGGTGTCCAAAGTATATCTACACATACATACATAGAAAACGCGTTTACAAAGCAGCGTCTGGACCGAGGAGGGTACGGTGCCCCCGGTAGAAAATACTAAAAAGTGGATAAAACGTTCCTTTAGAAAACAAGCCACCAACCGCAAGAGAGAAGGAGAGGAAGGCAGCAATTTAACTCCCTGCGGCCCGCAGTTCTGGAGATTAGGAGGTCCGTCCCGGCTTGGTGAGGTCTACGGAATGCATTGCACCGGCTGCGGTTCTCCAGGGGCCGGCCGCCCGAGTTCTGGAATTCTGAGAGGCGCGAAGTGGGAGCGGTTTGCCGGAGTCTGGATAGGGGCGCGGGGCGGGGGCAGCTGTTTCCAGCTGCGGTTAGTGCGACTCTCCTCCAGCAGCACTGCAAAGAGAGCGAGAGACGAAGGGGCGGGGGGAGGAAGGGAGATCCTCGAGGGCCAAGCACCCTTGGGGAGCAACCCGCGAGAGGCGATCCGCGGGGTCCCAAGAGCGGGCGCTCTTTCTCTTTCCGCTTGCTTTCCAGCACGAGACGGGCACAGTTGGTGATTATTTAGGGAATCCTAAATCTGGAATGACTCAGTAGTTTAAATAAGCCCCCTCAAAAGGCAGCGATGCCGAAGGTGTCCTCTCCAGCTCGGCGCCCACACGCTTTTAACTGGAGCTCCCCGCCATGGTCCGCCCGGGGCCGCCGCACCGAGCAGGTCTCCGCACAGGCTCAGAGGGAGCGAGGGAGGGAGGGAGGGAAGGAGGGGGCGCCCTGGCGGGCTCGAGATCAGGTCATCGCCGCGCTGCCCGGACCCCCTAGGCTTGCGCGCCCCGGCAGTCAGCAGGTCTCAGGCAGCAGATCAGATGGGGATTACCCGCCGGACGCGAGGCCGATCACTCAGTCCCGCGCCGCCCATCCCGGCCGAGGAAGGAAGTGACCAGCGCGCTGCGAACACCCGCGAGTCTGCTCGGGTGGGGCGGGGGTTGGCTGAGGGCGACGTAGGCTCGCGGCGGCTGCGGCTCCGGATCGGAGCTGCCCACCATGGTCTGGCGCCGGGGGCGCAGGCGGGGTCCCTAGGCCGCCCCAGGCGACAGCGGGAGGCGACTTGGCGCGGTACCCAGGCCCTTGGGGCCAGACGCGGACTCAGGGGCCAAAACCAGCAGGCAGGTGCTGGCGGACGCCAACTCGCCCAACTTGCTGCGCGGGTGGCCGCGCAGAGCAGTGGATTTGCTGGGCGCCCCCCACCGCCACCTCCTCAAGCCCGGAAGGGGGCGCTCAGGGCGGAGTCCCATTCATGGAACTGAGGCTCTGAGCGCGCCGAACCGCACTGGCTCCAGAGCGCCGCTGCTGGCTCTCTAGGTTGGAGCGCTAGCCCCGCAGGAAACTCCTGGCAGAGGCGACAGCCACCGAAACGGCGGGTGGGACGGGGACCCGCAGGTAGTCGGAGTCCCTCTTGCCCAGGAGATCAAGAGAGCTTCCAGGTGGGGCCGAGCTGGAGTGTCGGGCTCCAAGAGCGCAGAGAAGCACAGCGCTCTGAGATCCTGCTCCCTCTCCTCGAGCCCTGGGCTCCCAGACTCCCTTCTTCCTCCCTCCCTTCAACCCTCTCCCTCCTCTGTGTCTTCTGTCTCTCCCCTTTTCTCCTCTCTACGCAATCCTACGTGATTGAGGTTTGGATGAGAAATTCTCAGAGGCAGAGCGAGGGAACTGCAGCTCGGGTCTGCTCTGTCCGGTCCCTCCCCCACGAGAACACATCCACGGACGGGTTGAAGGACCCTGCTCAAAGAAGGGGTTAAGAGTGGGGGAGTTCAGTAAACTGGAGCACATTGCATTCTCTGTTTAGGATGCAAGGAAATGGGCACTGGGGAAAGTAGCAAATGGCCTCTAGGGCTCTCAATGTTGGGCCCCACCTCCATTCAGCACATTTTGGAACAACAAAGAGTGCTTCTGCCTCCTTAGTTCCTGCCTTCTTAGTTCCCTCTGGAAACCTACAAAGCAGGCTCAGTCCCTAAAAAGAAAGGCCAAAGGAGCAAACTGCACTGGCAGTGAATGGAGGTGGGGTGGAGAAGTGACCTGGGCAAAGGCAGGCAACATCCAGTTTTGGAGCACAACCAGATCTCCAGAAGTGTTGTGATTACAGCTGACATTAGGGAAGCAGAGGAGTCTTCCAAGTTAAAATGGAGCAGGATAGATTTTGGAAATGCAAAATGAATAGTAACCTTTCATTCATGCTAAGTTCTGAAAATGACTATTAGTTATATTTACAATTTCTCTTCAACTTGTCTTCAAATACCACTAATCTCTCCTTTTCACAAACTCTTCTCTAAACATTAAGGGGAGTGCTAAAGGATTAAATGGGTATTGCAGGCACTCCAAGCTACTGAAAATGGAGCCCCAGGAGCTCTCTAGTTGTAGACACAAACCTGTGGGCCTAGCAGATTCACTTGAGCAAAGAGAAGGACTGAGGTCTGTAAGATTAATCAGACCAAGCACTGAGCCTGACAACCCAACAGTGTTTTGGGTCTGGGAGCCTGGACCTTCCAAACTGCCAGGTCTGCAAAGCACAGGCTGACAGATAGTGGTTAACAGATCATATGGCTGGGTGGAAAATTAAACAGGCAAGACACCCTGATGAAGGAGAGCCTCAACTGTCAATCAGAAGCACATATCCCCTGCAGCAGCTCGAATGAGGACGACAGATTCATTCTTGGAATCTTAACAATACAGAACAAGATAGGTGAAAAAGAAACACACACACACACACACACACACACACACACACACACACACATACAGTGAAGCTGAATGCATTTTCAAAAGTGTTCCTGGTTGGGACAAGAGGAATTACTTAAAATCAGTGGGTAATACTGTCAATTAGGGAATTGTTCACATTCCAGAAATAAAATTATATTTTTCCCTTGGCTGTCAGAAGATTTCTCTCATCCCTGAGCAAGGCAGGCACAAATAGTACTGTTTGGCTTTGGGGGCTCCCTGCCTTTTGCAAGTCAACACCAGAATAGGAAAAGGTCATCTAAGGAGAGTATCCACAGAACTGAGCAAAAGGGAGGTTTGTAATGAGGGTTTGAGGAAATCATTGCTAAACTCGGAGTCTCTTTTTTCTCCTCAAATGGGGATAATCATTCCCATCTACCTCACAGAACTGAATATGCACATGTAAGCATTTTGAAAACTGGAAAATGCCAGTTGAGTAAAAGAGATGATGACAGTGTTTATTATTTTTTTTAAGGAAATGCATGAGATTCACCTGAGGTGCTTGTTTAAAATGCAGATTCCTGATAGTCTCTCAAAATATGAAACAGAAATCTCCAAGGTTGGAGCCTAAATCTAAGTTCTTAAGTTCTTCAGGTATCAAAGTTTGAGAGTCTAATATATTAATATATTGTTTGATATATATAACATACACACACACACACACACACACGGCATGTTTCCCAAATATCGCCAACCTGTACCCTAAAATCTTTAAAGCCCTGGAAAGAGGATGTGCATTCTCAAATCTTTGTGTGTTGCTATTTTCTATAGGCTTGTGAAAAATGAGAATGTTTTGATACAGAAGAGAGGCATGAGAGAGAAGGAGTTGATGAGGGAAGACATGAAATAGCAGATAACAGTTGTTGTTTGAAGTTTTCTCTGTCTTGACATGACAATATCAAGTTAAGCATTTACAGAACAAAACAAAAACATTCCATGTCAGTTTTCTGAAACTGGTATTATTTATGTCTTTAGATCTCTTTTAAAAGAATGTAGTGAATGTAGTTCTTTGGATCCAATGAGACAACAAGGACTTGACTCTTTCCCTTGCACTTCTGTAGCTATTGTCACAGTGCTTTTTAGCTACTTGGTCCTTTAAGCCATTATCAGCATCATTTACTCCATCTCCTCAGTGAGATGAAAGGTAAGGCATAGGAAAATCTGGGAAATTATCTAGGACCTAAGTACATGGCTATTGAACTTAGAAGCAATGCTTGATTTTTTTTAACTGACTAATTCATAGCCTTGCTACACCTGCCACTAAATCTCATAAGCCTTCTTCCGTGTTACTAGGACATTTCCATTATCTTTGCATTTGGGGATAAGGGAAGGAATTAAATCAACCTACTGGTGATTTTCATTAAACAAGCAGGTTGTTTAAAGGGTAATATCTCAGGGATAACTATCTTGCTTTTTATTGCTCTCTTTCTTTGAATAACTGAAGAATTTCCCTTTCCAATTTTGAAAACACCATGAGTAGAAAAAATTAATTACTCTGGAGAATGTTGCCAGATATTCACCAAAAGGATTCTTATAGTTTTATTTACATTTCTTCCTTCCAGTCAAACAAATAAAACATGGGCAGTCTTAACCATCTCCATATATTAAAAGGAAATCACAGAGAACATTTCATTGTCTTTTGCTTACTCATAAACCAAGTCTTCCAACTCCTAAATCTAACTATTGGTATTACTTCACACATCCACTTTACACACTATATTGAGCACACATTGCACCCAGGATCCTGCGTCAGTTGGCAAGGGGAACTCTACACACCCCTACATTCTCCTTGCCTTCAACAAGCTTAGAGTTCATACCATCATGATCATTTTGACTTCTGTATTAATCTCCTACTAACTGTATACTATTGGACAAATCAGTCAGCTTTTAAAACCACAACTTAAAATAAATAAATGATAATGATACTAGCAATATACATCTAACTGGGATCTTGTAATACTCAAGAATATGTGACAAGAATGTCAAGTATGAGAATGAGCATGTTGTCATGATATCCATTTAAGTCAATCCCCTGCTATGAAATATAGACTTCTTAAAACAGGAAAACATACTTTGTGAATCATACACATCATCATTCACTCCTGGACTTAATGTATTTAATTAATGCAGGAAATCTACCTGAAATGAATGATTAACCTTGACATTGTAGTGGCAAACAGAATTTTCATTAGTGGAATCTTGTCAATGTCCTTGTCTATTGGAAACACAAAGAGGCTTAGCTGTGCTCATATATCATCCTGCTCTGAGATCAGGTCCCTGACTCAAAGTTTGGTGAATATGAGCTCAGTGGAATCAGCCACAGCTGGCTTGAGGAGTAGAGGGTCTTGTTTCCATGAATACTCTCCTATATAATAGCTGTACTTCCACTTGCTTTTCTCTACCAGACTGTCAGTTAAAATCAGCAGGCAAAAGCAACATAAACAATTACTTTCTAATAATTTGTGAATTCCTTTCTACATTGAATTCATGTATTACTCAGCTATTCAACAATATGCCTGTCCGGTTTTGGTCATCCCTCAAAACAGGAAAGAGGACAGATTTAATTACTCTTTATGAAAAGACAAAAGGTGATATACTTATTGCCTAAAAGAAGAGATTCTCAATGTTT